CTGGCACCACGAGATGCAGCGCCAACCTTAAGAATTGGGGCTTCAAAGTGGAGACCACGACATGCGAGTGTGGAGAAGAGCAAACCTCAGACCACTTAATACAATCCAGTCAGAGCCCTGCCACATGCACAATGGAGGACCTTCTCACAGCAACACCAGAGGCACTCGAAGTGGCCAGGTTCTGGTCAAAGGACATTTAGCATAATGCCAATTTTAAAAAAAATTGTGTGTGTTTTAATACATTATAACTGTACCTCCAATTCACTTCTGACACATTAAATAAATAAGCAAAGAATTCTGGAGGAAGCTGCTATTTACCTTGTCTGTTATAAGGAGGCACACACAACTCCAGTAGGATCAGCTGGAATCCAGTTCTTTCCTAGGTTAAACCTTATTATGTTCTCTTACTGCAAACATATGCACACAATCTGATACCAAAAGTCTTTATTTCGCCATCCCTTTTCCATATCCTCCCAAAACTGGTTCTGTCGAATAAAATTCCAGCTAGACAAAGGTCAAGGAGGAAAAGTCGAGTTTGGGCAGGCATCAATAGAGTTCGTAAAATGGAGTTTCTTTATCAGAAGGATTGGTAACTGAGTCTTACCAGTAGTCTTGTTAGGATGCTTAATGTCATCCCAAGCACTATTCCATTGCATAAACTGTCCACATGATGCAGAGATTTATTGATCAACACTTTGCACTGAACACCAGTTAACATCTCTGATTGCTGTAAGTGAAGCGAGGAAGCTAAAAGACCACGGTTCCTGCGTCAAATCTTCCTTAATTTATGACTCCACCAGAAGTAATGCATCCCCATTTCCTCTTCAGCAGTTCTGACAGGGTTAGATCATTATTCCTTCCCTCTTTGAAAGTGGCAAGCGCTATAGCATGTAAAGAGGATGGAAATAATTGAGCAAGATGAAGTAACAGTCCAATTGTCTTATTAGCCGTTGTTAATCGTGAACTTGGAGTGGGACTGCTGTGCCCTGAATCTTGTCCATGAATATTGAAGCCGGGCGAATGGCTTCATGTCTTGTTTTTTAGGAGCTGCTGACTGGCTCCCTAAAAATGTTTAGAAAAAAGATGCTAAACTAAGTTTGCTTTTTGGAAGGAGGCTCCATCACACTCTACACAGTCCACTGCTGAACACCCAGGAAGTTCTTCCTTATGTTTTGGTGGGATCTCTTTTCCTGCCAATTTGAATCCATTGTTCTCTTGTGTCCTAGTCTTCAAAGCAGCAGAAAACACTCTTGCCTCCTCTTCATTACGGCATCCTTTCAGATATTTAAACATGTCACTCATTTCCCCTCTCAGCCGTCTCTTTGGGCTAAATATACCCAGCTCACTCAGCCGATCTTCATGGTCATGGGCGGCTCAACCCATTACGCAAAGTAAGCATTTGCAGTATAGTTGATTTTGCCCAGGGGCACTCTTGAGGTGCTCTTGGGGGAAAATAGACCTTGACATATGCAAGTTGTGGTTACTGGGATGTATAGTTCACCTACAATCAAAGAACATTCTGAACTCCACCAGTGATGGAATTGAACCACTCGCAGTGTGAATTTACTTCAAGCAGAGTCACTTTTTGTATAAGCTACCTGGTATGATATAAGAGTCTAGAGTTGCTGAATTTATCAACTCCTGAGGAAGGGGATTGCTTTCCCCGAAACAGGGTACAAAAATACCCGGGCACCCCTGTTGAATGCCATTGGGACTTTTCTTTGAAGACTTTTCTCTGGACACCATGTCCATCTCCTTCTTGACTTGTGGTGCCCAGAACTAGACACAGGATTATTCCAACTGAAGATATGAATTTCCACTATCTGGACGCTGACTTAGGCGATCCCTCATTGTCCTAGTATGATGGCCTTCCAAGTGTAGTGTCTTGGTGGTGGACATGTAAGTGACTGTAAAGCCCTATTCTTTACCCGCATGTTCTTTCACATTGAGGACATCGGTTTCCAGGTGGAAGGCAGTCCCGGTCAGGGTTGGTTTGACATGCCTTCCGCTTGGCACATTTCTCCCTTTGCCTTCTATTCATGCCTCTTTGAATTCTGCAGCGCTGCTGGTCACAGCTGACCTTCAGTTAGAGCACTCAAGGGCCAATGCTTCCCGGTTCTCGGTGTCTATGCCACAGTTTTTAAGGTTGGCTTTAATCCCATCTTGCAGCCTTTTTCCTCTCCACCAACATTATGTTTTCCATTCTTGAGTTTGGGGTATAGTAACTTCTTTGGGAGACGGTGAGCGCACATTTTGACACCATGGCCAGTCCCTTGGAGTTGATGGCATAGGAGCGTCGTTACTCCTGTTGACACAGCCTAGAATCACATTTACTTTTTAAGCTGTTACAACACACTATTTCGTTATGTTCAACTTGTGGTGTACGAAGACTCCGAAATCCCTTTCACATGTACTGTTTTCATGTCTCAAAAAACATTTGTTAAAACAGTGCTGTATCTAAATGGCATTATATTTCCAAGAACCAACATTGTTTTGAAGTGCAAGGTCCTGATAACACGCATCACTCCCCAGAAGTTCTGGTAGACCTTAGCTATGCATGATTATGGCAATCTGCATGGTTAGTTACTAAACGGTGTGCTCCACTACCCCCTCAGCTTCAGGGCAGACTAATGTTTGGAGTAGTCATGCCAGCTCCTTGCCCAAAGGTAACTAATGAGCAACTAAGGTGTAATTCAGAGTCCTGATTCATACCTACATGATTCTCCCGGGCTGACGTAGAGTTTCTTTCTTGAAACATGCCTTCAGGAATAAAGTCTAGTGAATGGAAGTTAACAAAGTGATGCTTCAGCTAAAAAAGGCAACATGGTTCTAGGCTGCATCAATAAGAGTATTCTGTCAAGATTTAGAGAAGCCTTAGTCCCACTCTTTTGTGTTTTGGTCAGACATCACCTGGAATAATAGCCCTGTGTCCAGTTCTGGGCACCACTATTCCAGAAGGAGATGGACAAGCTGAAACATGTCCAAAGAAAAGCCACCAAAATGGTCAAAAGCCCAGAAACTATGAGTCCCTCTACGAAACTGCTTAGTTGGTTGGGAATATTTAGCTTAGAGAAAAGGCTGACAGGGGATGTGATTGTCATGTTTAGATATTTGAAAGGATGTCACGTTGTTTTCTTCTGCTCCGGAAACGAGGACACATTGGAGCAATGGATTCCAATTGTGTCCAACAAGTGACCAACCAACAAGTGACCATCACTCATAAAGCCCCCCCAAAAAAGCAGCAGAAAGGACTTAAAAACCCCAAAAAGCTAAATGACAATACAGATGCAGATGTCCAGCTTACTAACCGTGGTGCCCTTGCTCTACAGAGAGCAGGAACGCACCTCTCTCAAGCTCTGCCTTTGAGTCCAACTCTTTTCCAGCCTATGTCTAAAGGGAAGGAATGAAGGAGGGAAAGGGGAAGGAAGGAAGGATAGAAGGAGGGAGGGAAAGAAAGAGGTAGAGAAGGAAGGAAGGAGAGAAGGAGGGAGGGAGGGAAGGAAAGGAAGGAAAGATGGAACGAGAAGGATGAAAAAAGAAAGAGGGAAAGAAGGAAGGAAGAAGGGAGAGAAAGAAAAAGGGGGTACGCAGGAAAGAGGTAAGGAAGGAAGGAGATAATGAAGGAGGGAAAGAAAAGGGGGCACGCAGGAAAGAGGTAAGGAAGGAAGGAGATAATGAGGGAGGGAAAGAAAAGGGGGTACACAGGAAAGAGGTAGAGAAAGGAAGGAAGGAAGGAAGGAAGGAAGGAGAGAAGGAAAGAAAAGAGAGAGGAAAGGAAAGAGAGAGAAGGAAAGAAAGAAGGAGGGAGGGAAGGACAGAAAGAGAAGGGAAAGATGGAAGGAAGGAAGGAAGTAGAGAATGAAGAAAGGAGAGAAAGGAGAAGGGAAAGAAAAAGGGAGGGAGGAAAGAGGGAAGGAAGGAAGGAAGGAAGGAAGGAAGGAAGGAAGGAAGGAAGGAAGGAAGGAAGGAAGGAAGGAGAGAAAGAGAGAAAGAGGGAGTGAAGGTTGGCCACACCTATGTGTGGCGGGTACAGCTAGTAGTAGAATAAACTGTTTGCTGTTAATAGTTTGGTGTCGTCTTCACAGATGTAGGTGTTCTGTGTGGCTTTTCACTCTCCCTTGTGCCATTCCTAGTGACTCAGGAGAGAATGAAAGGAGGCCCCATGTGAGAAGAAAGGTTCAACATCATATCCCCAAACACTCTGCTGAGACGGAGCTGATGGTTAAAACAGAAACTGCAAGGGGTGTTGCGTGCAAGTTGAAACCTATTCTGAAGCTGGGATGCCATCTCTTTGCTGATGTATTAATTATGCCTTTCCTATTTTGGAGTAAGGAAGTGGGAGTGGGAATTTGGGTGCATGTTGCTTGTCACAGTAGTAACACCAGCTGAATGTTTATCTTTTGCACAACCATTAAAGAGACAGGAGCCCTCCTTTGTAATTCACCTGACAGCCTTAGTGTGGGTTGGATTTGGAAATGTGTGTCTGAAGTGCGAGAAGCCAAGGAGCGCCTGCAGTGTTAATGAATCGCAATTAATTTCCAACATTAGACCTTACTTGTTATCATATAATTATTCCTCCTCCTTCATGTTTTCTAAGCAAAATACCTTGATACCTGCAGGATATGCTACAGAAGACACGTGCTCCTTTTTATTGATCTACTAGTAACCCATGCTCTCTTTTGGCGTGCTCTGTAGTGCCAGCTGGTGGAAAGAGATAGCAATTTCAGCAATGTTGAAGGTACTTAGGAACTCCTCCAAGCTGACCAGTATCCTCTTTTGAGGTTGAAAATGAATAAAAGTACCTTCATAAAGATGGCAGGCCTGTATGCCATTTTTATGGTCATCTGTTAGGGGTACTTTGATTGTTCTCCTCCTATATGGCAGGGGGTTTGACTAGGTGGCCTATGTGGTCTTTTCTGACTCTTTGATTGTATGCTCAGCCTCTAGACTAAATGTGTCTTCAACATCCCCTTTTCTTTCTCTTTCTTCTTTAATTGCAGGCTCTCGATGGGAATGTATACGATCACCTTAAAGATTATATAATGGCATTCAGCAGGACTGAATTCGAAATATGCCAAGCTGTACAAAGCACATTCCAGTTTCTTTTGGAAACTTCCAGTCGGGTAAGTTTTTAAATAAAAAATGGCAGTTTGGCATTCCAGCTTTTCTTGAGGGTATTCTGGCCACCAGGGGAGCTGTCACTTCACTGCCCACTTGTGACACCGATGGAGTACTTCCTCGTTCTTTTGCACGCTGCTGGAGATTTTTATGGCATTGTAAATTAGTTAAATTAGCCTCCCCTCATAAAGTGGCATTTTACCCGATTCCCTGGAGCCCCCGGTGGCGCAGTGGGTTAAACCCCTGTGCCGGCTGGACTGAAGACCGACAGGTCGCAGGTTCGAATCCGGGCAGAAGCGGATGAGCTCCCTCTATCAGCTCCAGCTCCTCATGCGGGGACATGAGAGAAGCCTCCCACAAGGATGATAAAAACATCAAATCATCCGGGCGTCCCCTGGGCAACGTCCTCGCAGACAGCCAATTTCTCACACCAGAAGTGACTTGCAGTTTCTCAAGTCACTCCTGACACGACAAAAAAAAAAAAAACCCCGATTCCCTGGCCCCCCATATTCTGGTTTTGCACTAACCTTGGCCCGGCCCTTTTTTAATTGCCTCCACCTATTTTTATTGGCCCTAACAAACAGTCATGAAGAACCAGCAGGATTAGTTTTAATATATATGCGTTGTTGTGATATTTATTTTTGCTTGTTATGATAATTTTATGCTTATATTGGTTACTCTATGTTTTGGTGTCTGTTATTTGGAAACCACCGAGTCCCCTCGGGGAGATAGAGCAGTATATCAATAAAGATAATTATTATTATTATTATTTCCTACTTGACACATGCAACTGTCTTTTGGGCTGCAAAGGTCAACAGCAAGCTAGACAAATGGTCGGGAGCTTACTCCGACTTAGGCGGGCTTCCAACTCATGACCTTTCAATTAGTAGTGATTTTAATCCAGCTGACTCCCAACCAGCTGCGCCACGTCCCTGCTTTCAACATGAAGTTTAATAATTTGATGTCATATGTTTAATTAAACAGACTCAAACTCAGTTCAGTTTGTAGTATATGGACATTAAAACACACATTAGTCAATGTGTTTCATGTCAGCTGTATGGGTTTCTAAGATTGATGCTTTCTAGGAAAATTCTGCATAATGGTCAGACGCATTTTATCCTGAAAGCCTCTGAGCACCGTTATTATGAAAATCACCCATCTTAACAGTTGCAGCACACTTTTGTCTTTGTTAAACATTAGTGTTAACTTATTTATTGTCTCTTTCAGGTAGTGCGAGATTACAATTTCCAGCTGTTCTTACAAGAGAACACGGTATTTCACAAACCACAGTCCTTCCAATTCCAACCGTGCGACAGCGACACTGTAAGGATATTTCTTTTTTAAAAAATCAACAATTTTATTATCTTAATCATTTTGGTGATTTGAAAGGGCCACAATCCAGTGATAGAACAAGGTTGATACTCAAAGGAATTGCTTGTGTATTCTTATATAAAGTAGTCATGCATGCGGAGTGCTCTTCTGATTTGGATAACCTTGTATACCCTCCTGGGCTCTCTTCAGCAGACGCCAATTGATGGAATTAGATGATTTATGTCAATTTTCAACCTGTTCTAATCAAGTGGGCTTAAGTGTACACCTAATCCTGCCCCCAAGAGTAAGAAAACTTTTAAAGAGGAGGAGATATTCTAGCCATTTAGATCCTACAACCTTGTCCTCACGGTACACATTCTCTATTGCATATTTGGACACAAATGGGGAAGTGCAGTCTATGAGCTGAATGTTTTCATTGCTCAGAAATATCCCCATAGGTCATCTTTGGGGGGAGGTTTCATCATATTTCTTCTTGATTGGCATTTAATGGGAACTCCCAGTGGTGCAGCAGGTTAAACCACTGAGCTGCTGAACTTGCTGATCAAAAGGTTGCAGGTTTGAGTCTGGAGCAGCGTGAGCTTCCGCTGTCAGCCCCAGCTTCTGTCAACCGAGCAGTTCGAAAACATGCAAATGTGAGTAGATCAATAGGTACCGCTTCTGTGGGAAGGTAATGGCACTCCATGTAGTCATGCTGACCACATGATCTTGGAGGTGTCTACGGACAACGCCGGCTCTTTGGCTTAGAAATGGAGATGAGCACCAACCCTCAGGGTTGGACACAACTGGACTTAATGTCAGGGGAAAACCTTTACCTTTGCCTATCATTTAATGGCCTAGCAGTTTTCAAGGTCTGGCTTCTTACTGCCCTGAGGAAATCCTTTGTTGGGAGGTGATTAGTTGGCCCTGAATGCTAATCAAGGTGGCCAATTGCTATGTTGACACCCAACTCAAACAGACAAGAGTTCTTTCTCCTATCCTGGACATTCCACCGATATATAAACCTCACCAGACTTCAAAACCTCTGAGGATGCTTGCCATAGATGCAGGTGAAACGTCAGGAGAGAATGCTTCTGGAACATGGCCATACAGCCCGGAAAACTCACAACAACTCAGTTTGACACCACTTTAATTGCCATGGCTCTATGTTATGGAGTCATGGGAACTGTTGTTTTACAAAGGCATCAAAAACACAAAAGAACTCATGGTTTTAATTATTTTTTAATTGTGCACCAGGTTTTGGACTGAAAGGCAATAGAGAAATATTATATATCTATCCTACCCTTCATCCGTTAGTCTCAGAGCAGCTTACAAAAAAAAAAAAAAAGAGTCCCAACAAATTCGGAACAGTTGAAACAACAAGATATTGTTTTGAAAGGATAAACACCTTAAACATGTTTAACCAAAGACAGATGAAAATAGTTAAAATATTTTTTAAACTACAATCATGCAAAAGTTTGTACAAAACTAAGTAGGCTTCAGAGACTTTGGTGACAAAGCACTTTTTCACTTGGTACCTAAGGAGAGTGAGTTTGTTGTCAGTTGAGCCTCCAAGAAGAAGATGGCCCATATTTGGTGTGCCTTAAAGATCTGGGTCCCAGCGCATGCAGGTTCTAATGGCGCAACACAAAATGGAGCTATCCGACAGATAGATTTGACTTATCTTTGGAGCCCTCGGTAGCGCAGTGGGTTAAACAGCTGAGCTACTGAACTTGCTGATCGAAAGGTCGCAGGTTCAAATCTGGGGAGTGGCGTGAGCTCCCGCTGTTAGCCCCAGCTTCTGCCAACCTAGCAGTTCAAAAACATACAAATGTGAATAGTTCAATAGATGTATAAACCTCACCTGCCTAGTTTCCAACAGACCTCACAACTTCTGAGGATGCCTGCCGTAGATGTGGGCAAAACGTCAGGAGAGAATGCTTCTGGAACATGGCCATACAGCCCAGAAAACTCACAGAACCCAGAGATTCCAGCCATGAAAGCCTTCCACAACACAATATCCTAATACCTTAGGTCCCAAAATGTTTGAAATGTGTACCCAAATATTTGTAGGGTTCAATGGCTATAATGATCAACTCTCCTCACGCTAAAAATAGCAATTTTTCTGTGTTTCTTCTGAACCTATGAATAGAGGGCAGTAATTTAAAATAAATGCAGGTTTCCAATGAGACCTCTTTCCTGCAGCTGTCTGGTAAACTGTCCCTTGCGCGAATTTTGTCCCATTACCTGGGTGGCTATCTTTGGGGAAAGGCAGATAAGACTTGGGTCTGCTTACTAGGAACAACAAACCTGCCCTTGAAATTCAAATGTTATGTTCTGAACCCGTTCCTCCTCAAGAGATAAGAAACTTCTAAGCCTCCCGGCAAACTGTTTACATCAAGTCCAAGGGCATCTAAAAGGCAGCAGGCTAGATTTTCCTTGACTAACCATATTTGTCTAACTGTGTTTGCCTTGCAATTCTAACTGTGTTGTATGTGTGTGTGTGTGTATCTGTGTATGTGTGTGTTTTGTCCTTGTGCAACCTTTGATATTTAGAGTTTTAGTGCCGTTCAGCTGGTGGATATTGAGCCTTCACCTGTCAGTGCTCTGAGAATGACCTTAGTGGAGGTATATGGCAGCGTCTGCTATCACCATTTAATCTGTTTTGTGGGTTTGCCTATATGCATGCGGAATAGGGGCTTCTCTGCATAAGTGACATATGAATGCATAACATGTTGTCCCAAAGGCATCAAAACTCCGGGATTCCTTCTTCAGCTTACAAACCAAACAGCACTTTGTTAGTAATAATCCAGGATTTGAAATGAAGCAAAGTGCAAAAACATCCAAATGGCTTCATTTCACCTACTTGCAAAACATTTTACCATGTCTCCCCATTACTTCGGCGTTTCTAGCAGCTATTCTAGCTGAACGCTGTCTGTGCTCTGTTTCCTTTCGCCTTTCCAGAAATGTGTGCACTTGCAAGATCTCATCCCCTGATTCCAATTCCTCCTCTAATTCCTGAACACATTTCTGCTCCAATTCCTCTTCTGAAGATGAGGAATCCCTAACAGCTGGGTACAGTGCCTGAAGACCTTGGCCTGCACTTAAAAACAATCAGCCCTGACAAAATCACCATCTGTCATCTGCAAATAGCCACCCGACTCGGATCTGCACACATTTTTCACCAATACATCACACAGTCTTAGACCTCACAACTTCTGAGGATGCTTGCCATAGATGGAGGCAAAACGTCAGGTGATAATACTTCTAGAGCATGGCCATATAGCCCAAAAAAACCTACAACAACCCATTGATTCCGGCCATGAAAGTGTTTGACATGAGATAGAATACAAAAGCCAGCATAGTGTATGTATATTAATCTTGTTGTGTATCAAATTATTATTATTATTATTATTATTATTATTATTATTTTACTGACACAAAAACACAGTATGTCACAGCAAACAAGATATATATGCTGGATTTTGTATCACAAAATCACAAGTCGAACACTTCCCAAGCATCTAGAACTGTGTGATTTTATTATTATTATTATTATTATTATTATTATTATTATTATTATTATTTGAAACACAAGATAAGTCCACAGCAGAAAGGGTTACTCTGCTGGCTGTTGTATTGGATCACACATTGGACACTTCCTTCTTGTTGTTGTTGTTGTTGTTGTTGTTGTTGTTGTTGTTATTTGAAACACAACAAGATGAGTCCACAGCAAACAAGATCACTCTGCTGGCTGTTGTATTGGATCACACATCAGACCCTTCCCAAGTGTCTACGACTGTGTGATGTATCGGCGAATAATGCATGCAGATCCCAGTAAGGTGACCTTTTGCAGCTGACAGATGGTAATTTTGTCAGTGCCAATCATGTTTAAGTGCAGGCCAAGGTCTTTAGGCACTGCAGTCGGTGGACTGATCACCACTGGGACCACCTTTATTAGCTTGTGCCAGAGTCTTTGCAGTTCGATCTTTAAATCCTCATATTGTGTCAACTTTTTCAGTTGTTTCTCTTCAATCCTTCTGTTACTTGGGATTGCAACATCGACAATCCATACTTGGTTTTTTTAACACAATCATGAAGTCAGGAGTATTGTGCTCCAAAACTCTGTCTGTCTGAATCCGGAAGTTCCCAGAGAATGTGTTCATTCTCTAACTTTTTCTGGTTTGTGATCCCACCAGTTCTTTGTTGCAGGCAAATGGTATTTGTGGTACAAGTTCCAATAAATCATTTGAGCAATGGTGTTATGCCTCTGCTTGTAGTCTGTCTGTGCGATCTTCTTGCAGCAGCTGAGGAAGTAATGCAAGAAGATTGCGCAGACAGACTATAAGCAGAGGCATAACACCGTTGCTCAGATGATGATGATGATGATGATGATGATTATGATTATTATTATTTGGAAGTCATTCTGTATTTTGGCTTTCATTCCTGAGCCTCACCTCAAGATTAGACCAGCCTCCTTTCAGCTAATCGCAATGGTTCTCAACCCATGGGTCCCCAAGTGTATTGGCCTACAACTCCCAGAAATCCCAGCCAGTTTACCAGATATTTCTGGGAGTTGAAGGCCAAAACATCTGGGGACCCACAGGTTGAGAACCACTGCCTTATCATAACACAAATGGCACAAAATTGGATCAAAGAAACAGGTGGTGAAAGGCTTCGTGTCTTTCATCTGATTTATCTGTCACTTCCTTTTAAAACTCTTTTTTTTTGCTTGGATGTGAAATTTCATCCCATCCATTATTCTTTCCAGGGGAACAGTTCAAAAGCAGGGATTCTTTACTTCTGGTGCGCTTCTGAAGCCATTAACAACCTTCTGTCTAAGAAGCAGGGAGTGCCAATTCTACAACTGTTATGCATTTTAGTCGCTTCATTTTCATTTTGTGTTAGCGCTGTTCAGAATAAGTAGCTTTCTGTATTTTCATGAGATGTGCATGATTTCCCTTTCGTTGGGCAGGCTGTGTAATGAATATCGAGGAAACATATTGTGGAATAATCTGCTGACTTGAATTAAAATGAAAACATCACTTTTTTCCCTGGCAAAATATAGACTTCAGTTTAGCTGAACAAATAGCTCTCATAACTAGAACTAACCTCGCTCTTTTTAGACATCTCGCTGTGAGTTTGGGGGCAGAGGGTTCAATTTGATCCTTACACAGATTAAGATGTTCAGTCACATTCTCTTTTTATTTCACTTGGAATAACTGAGCATGTTTTCAAGGTGAAAGCAAGAAGCCAGATGTCTCTTGGGAGGTTTCATGAAGCCAGTGGGCCAGACAGGGTTTGTGGCTTCATTAGCTCTGTGGCTGCTTCGGCCAAAGGCAGCAAAGCGTCCTCATCATCGATGTATTATGGGGAAAGGACAGGAGTCAAAGTCATGCAACTCTATCCTACGAGCAGGAAGCTCCTTTGCGCAGTAGCTTCCGCTCCAGCTCAATGTTGAATGTAGGACAGAAAGTGTGAGATTGCAATACGCAGCCCTTCTTGACTTGCTGGGGTTTTCAAGTCACTTTCCACAAGGAGTGATAAGCCCTTATAGATAAGCGGTGCTGGTCATGGAAAGACCAGAAGCCTTTTTAAATAGATATTGAAGCATTTTGGATTTCCAGATTAGGGATGATAAGCATGTACTAGAATGCATTAGTCTGTGTCTTGGAGACACCATTCCTATTGGATTCTGTTCTGTTATGATCGGACACCTGGCTCGACAACAGTACGTGTGAAAAAGATGGCTTCAAACTACAAGGAAGGAGATGCCACCTGAACATTAGGAAGAACTTCCTAACTGTGAAAGTTGTTGAGCAGTGGAACTCTCTACCCCAACGTGTGTTGGAGGCTCCTTCTTTGGAGGCTTTTAAACAGAGGCTGGATGGCCATCTGTTTCGAGTCCAGATCCTTTACCATCTTGGTCCCTCTTATCTAGTTGTGATCAAGACTTAATATATTCTATTACAGGCTTCAAACTACAGGAAAGGAGATTCTACCTTCCAGTCTCATAGATCTAGTAGTCACTCCAAAACCTTCCAATCCCATTGATCTAGTAGTCACTCCAAAACCTTCCAATCTCATAGATCTAGTAGACACTCCAAAACCTTCCAATCTCATGGATCTAGTAGTCACTCCAAAACCTTCCAATCTCATAGATCTAGTAGACACTCCAAAACCTTCCAATCCCATTGATCTAGTAGTCACTCCAAAACCTTCCAATCTCATAGATCTAGTAGACACTCCAAAACCTTCCAATCTCATAGATCTAGTAGATACTCAAAAACCTTCCAATCTCATAGATCTAGTAGTCATTTATTTGATACACTTGTATACCGCTAATATCTCAGCCTGGAACGGCGACTCATTGCGGTTTACAGCAATTAAAAACAATCTCCAATTTAAAACATATACACATACAATAACAAATTATTGGGCCACCAATAATAATCCCATATATCTCGAGTTGAAATCACAGTCCAGAATTCGTTGTCCATATTTCCTGTCCTTAGTCACCAGAGTTCGATTGCCACAGATTAGCCGAATGCTTGTTTAAACAACCATGTTTTCAGTCTCTTCCTAAACACCATCAGCGAACAGGCTGATCGTACCTCTATAGGGAGGGTGTTCCAAAGCCGGGGGGCCACCACAGAGAAGGCCCTGTCTCTCGTTCCCGCCAGCCGCACTTCTGAAGCTGGAGGGATAGAGAGAAGGGACTCTCCCAATCTCATAGATCTAGTAGATACTCAAAAACCTTCCAATCTCATAGATCTAGTAGTCACTCCAAAACCTTCCAATCTCATGGATCTAGTAGACACTCCAAAACCTTCCAATCTCATAGATCTAGTAGTCACTCCAAAACCTTCCAATCTCATAGATCTAGTAGATACTCCAAAACCTTCCAATCTCATAGATCTAGTAGATACTCCAAAACCTTCCAATCTCATAGATCTAGTAGTCACTCCAAAACCTTCCAATCTCATGGATCTAGTAGACACTCCAAAACCTTCCAATTTCATAGATCTAGTAGTCACTCCAAAACCTTCCAATCTCATGGATCTAGTAGACATTCCAAAACCTTCCAATTTCATAGATCTAGTAGTCACTCCAAAACCTTCCAATCTCATAGATCTAGTAGATACTCCAAAACCTTCCAATCTCATAGATCTAGTAGATACTCCAAAACCTTCCAATCTCATAGATCTAGTAGTCACTCCAAAACCTTCCAATCTCATGGATCTAGTAGACACTCCAAAACCTTCCAATCTCATAGATCTAGTAGTCACTCCAAAACCTTCCAATCTCATAGATCTAGTAGACACTCCAAAACCTTCCAATCTCATGGATCTAGTAGACACTCCAAAACCTTCCAATCTCATGGATCTAGTAGTCACTCCAAAACCTTCCAATCTCATGGATCTAGTAGACACTCCAAAACCTTCCAATCTCATGGATCTAGTAGTCACTCCAAAACCTTCCAATCTCATAGATCTAGTAGACACTCCAAAACCTTCCAATCTCATAGATCTAGTAGACACTCCAAAACCTTCCAATCTAAAAACATCATTATCAGCCAATAGTCGCATCCAGTCCAATTTCACATCCGAGGTGCTTTCATGCCTTCT